AGTGGTCCACAGTCTTTTAATTTGTGACTACTGTATGAAATAAACTGAATGTTTTTCTAAAATGCTACTAATAATAATTAATGTAGGTTTGTAATTTATTTTCCAAGGACCACCAGTTTATTAGCCCTTGGCTATTAAGTGTTAACCCTCCTTAAATAAAGTCTTATTTTATTATTACTGATAATACTGGACTGAACTGCAAGTTTTCCATAAACTGTAAAATAATGTGCAATATGAGCAAAGGTTTGATCTGAAGTGCTACCATGGTCTGTAGTCCCGCACATTGTAGTCTGTGACTGTGAAATAAACTAAGTGTCAAACTTGACACTTGACATGACATGACAAACTTTAGTTCAAAATCAAGGCATCTATGTACTGCTTTCTGGACTATTCAACAATCTTAATGCAATGCATCTGGTAGAAAATTAAGATGAGGAACAAGTACTTATGCAACTGAATTAAGTGTAGACAAGTAACCTAGAGTTTAAACTAGACAAACAAAGTACATGTATTAGTGAGTTTGACTTGACTATATACTCCACATTATTATTCCACTATTATGCCATTTTACCATGTTTTNGTGAGTTTGACTTGACTATATACTCCACATTATTATTCCATTATTATGCCATTTTACCATGTTTTGTGAAGGGAGTGCACAAAATGTGACCCCATGTTGCACTGTATTGTAATTTGCACATGCCTTATACAACTGGTATGATTTTTGTATGATGCAAGATGTACATGTATTTCAAAAACTTAAAGCTAAAATACTGTACTGGAACATGACATTATAATGGAATAAGAAATCCCTTCTTAGATGGTTAAGCATGTACATGTAATATGTATTTTGCTCATTCCTTGTATTTTTCCTAGCCCCTCGGGGCTCAGAAAAAATACTACGCAACTCGCAAAATAGCCGCCCATGTTATTTAAACCATTGAAGGTTTTATACACTAATAAAATATTGAAACCTTAAACTGAATATTTGTCAAGGTCACTATAATAGCACATCTTGTGACTGTGTATTCATTTTTTCTGTGTTGGTAGGTGGTGGTAATGACAGATCAAGAGACCGAGGTCGTGATAGAAGGCGGCGATCAAGATCAAGATCAAGGTCAAGGAGTCCAAACAGAGATCGTAGAAACTTTGGTGGTGGGAGAGATCGATTCAGGGGGGGAAACAGGTCAGGACTTAAGTCTATCTCATTTCATACAGCTATTAATTATTACATTTGCATGTATATAAACTTGCATTGTACACTTACTTTAGGTTGAACTATTTAACAATTACATGTAGATTATGAGCTCGAGATTTCTATGAGGTGATATTTGATGAGGCCCGAAGGCTGAATCAAGTATCGCCTCATAGAAATCAAGAGCTAATTATCTAATTGTTTTAGTAGAATTCTTACTAAAATTTACTTCAAATAATGGTTTCCAATTATTTCTTGACATGTTATTAAACTTTACACCTAAAAAAGATCGCTTGGATTGAATTGTCCAGGGCTCGAAATTGCGACTCACTGGTCGCCAATGCGACCAGAAATTGAGCACTGGCGACTAAATTTTCAAAACTGGTCGTCAGCTGGTGACTCGTGTTTTGTCTGATAACTAAAGAAAACCATGACACAACTTTTAAATCTTTATATAAGGAAATCAACTGGATATGGTAGCTAGTATACAACTCACCTTTCCTTCCCCAGTAAAATAATGTCTGAGTATTACAAGATAATCAGAATAATTGAGTGTATTTTAACACGTCAATACTGCGTTCATGGTGCATCATATTGTTTCAGCGGCTTGTTCCGAAACTGGGATCTTAGGTGCACTTAAACACCATGTGCTTTTCATCTGCCGCGAAAATGGCGGCAGATACCAATCAGTTGAAGGAATTACGTGAGTTTTAACGTGCGGGGAATGAAGATTCAGCCAAAAGGTTAATCCAAACTTTGAATCCTTCATCGGCATTTTGAAGAAGTAGCAAAGGGAAAATACGCAAGGACCTGTGTTTGTCTCACAATGAAAACCACGGACTTAAAATGTTTTATGCTTTGCTTCATTTAAAATGACTATATCAAGACAACCATCACCTTTGGACCAGAGACATATCACCTGA